GGAGGGGATCAGGGCAGGTACCAGGAACGGGCATGCATTTTCCTAGTGTTCACTGCAACAGGCAGAGCCAGCACAGGTGCAGCCTACGAGCAGTTTTCCCAAGTAGCAGGTCCAGAAGTGTGGCGTCTCACGGTCTCTCCATCTACATAAGAAAATGCCATAAGGACTTCCCTAAAATACAAGCCTTCTCACCAGTAGTCTTGGTACGAGTAACAGAATATGATTATTAAATATCGTCAATGTGGTTTTCATTACAAAAAATAAAATAAAACATGTTTCACATAAAAGCTTTATAATATAATCCAGAGGCCAGACTTAGTGTGCATTTAAAATCTGAAGCCAGGCTAGGCTGGCTACTTCTGACCATGTTTTCCTTGCTTCCAGGGCTTTACACTTTTCCTAAATACGCACCCAGCTTCTTACCAGTTCAAAAGCTCATGAAACACTTTGCTCTGAGCATCGTGATTGCCTTGCAGTAGCCTCTTTGGGATTATAATCCTAATCCAAGGAGAACAGCTCTAATTTCTATTCAGATTTGCTCTTTCTTCCTAAATCATGTGAGTGTTGACCAAAACCTAGCAAATGTCAGGCACAAAGGTTTGTGAGCAGGAGGCCCAGGGAGGAATTACGAATAATTTTACAATGATCTGGTTAAGAAAACACAAAGAAAAGGAACGATTTTCCTCATAAAAAAAAAGCCTGGACTTGAATTTAAACAAGAGATAGACGTGAAAGGAATGAAATATTGCTTCCACCCGAGATGGGCCATTCTTTACCCATGTAACAACAGAGCTATCGCGACACCCGCCGGTCGGGCCTCCTAGGGGCCTCCACTGGTAACTTTTGAGGTAGATGCTGATGGCCTGAAGAGAGGTAGGTACAGTCCAAATTTGTTTTCAATCCCTGCAAATGTGGCTACTGCCAGTTTGTAGCCCCCGACGTGATCAGGGCTGGGAGCGGGCAGCGTGATCCGGGATTTAGGAACTGCCTCGGAGCCCATGGGTTTCCTGAAAGAGAAAAGAGAGTGGAGCATCTGAGTTTTGTTTTATTTTTTAACTTGGCAAAAACAACATCCAAACACTGAGCATCTGCACCATAAAGGAGTGGTGGAATTCTGGCCCGTTGTATGCTCCCCTTGGAAATAGGTCTGATCTGAAGACGTGATTTCACTACTTCCCTACATCTTCTCCATTTCAGCCCATAGGTGGGCATACCTTTCTCCAGGATGACGGAGTATGAGAAGCAACTGAAATACAGCTTCAATTTAGCATGAATGTAGCATGATGACACTTACACTCCTCCAAAATCGACGTAGAACCAGCGCTGTAGCAATTCATATGTCAGCAAAGTCACACCAAACTGGGGTGAGGATCGAAGCACACGAGCTTAAAAAAAAGGGGGGGATAGCGTGGGGGGGGGGGGGAATATCAGGTATAATTAGATTTTTAAAAAACTTTACCTGATACCAAAGGTTTAGTTCAGGACAAATTATTTCCATACCGCCAGCTCCTTTCCACAGGGCTTTCGGGCCTTCCTCCTGCAGTATCTTCCGAAAGCAGTCCGTCACGCCACTGTAAGTGGTTTGGCCGGCCCTGGCGGCCACCTGTAATCGAGTCTTGATGACATCAGCAGGGGTCACTAAAGATGCCGCTGGCATACCTGCAGGAAAGACAAGGCCGTGGCAGTCTGCTCACATTCGCACTATATAAAAAATAACTGCGCTTTGAACTGCCTGCCCGTGGAAGGAAAGTTAAGAATCCGAGGGAATCAGCTGCCTATTTTACTGTCCCCTCTGGGACATACCACCCTAACCATCTTGTCTAAGGCGATGGAGGCTCCCGCACATCTAGGGACACCCCTCGCCCCCTCCCCCATCACCTCCACTTGTTATGCTTCTATTCCTAAATAGTTACAATGAATTATTTATCAACAACACTCCTGCCAGGGGGTGAGAGTAAACAGAGAGGAGAGAGAACGTCTTTGGCACTCTGCCTCCCGCTCTCCTTTGAAATCAGAAACTCACCAAGTTATTAGATCTGATTTTTTTCAGAGGTGAGGCTTGTTATGCGTTTCCTCTTCATGCTTTTCTGTGGCTGCTGGCAGTCACGGGAGGTGCCTTCTCGCACATAGTCAACCACCCCCGACCCTCCCAACCCTGGCCTCTCCAGTTACAGCAGAAAAAGGCCTTACTAGTAGCTAAACAAACACTGTGCGCGCGCATCTGCTATGTGTGTGTGTGTGTGCGTGCGTGCATATGTGTGTGTGCGTGCGTGCGTGTGTGTGTTTGTGTGCGTGTATGTGTAAAGGTGACTAGGGAGGAGACTTGCAGAGATAACACTTTAGGATTTCTTTTTCATAGACTGACATCTCCTAGAGAAAATATCTGACAGATTTATACTGGCTGGTCATCAATGAAAAAGGAACAACAACAACAAAACCTTCCCCAAATTACCAATGGGAAATATTTCTACAGTCATTTTATCCAAAATGGGGCAGCCCATGTTTAGATTTTTTAAAAGCGAGACTGTGCTCAGAAGACACTGTCTCTTCTGGTTTTATTACTTTTCCATTATGAACTCACTCCAAACCAAATTGGTCAAATGCAGATGCATAAATCTCCTTTGCTTTTTTTAAGGCTTAATAATTCTGTAAGAATTTCTGTCCAAACCAACGTGGTCTGGCTCGCAGCGCCATCCCATCCTTCTAACAGACAGCTTTAAAGCTACAGTGCGCGCGTGTGTCTGGGGAAACGCGCACGGTACACGTCTGCACTTTTCTTACGAAGCTGAAGCTCTTCCTCTTCCGTCTGGGCTGAGCTCCTCAAACTTCATCTGAGGTCCCCGATTTTATAAAGCACATCACATATTTGCATGTGAAAAAGCTCACTTTCGATTTCAGTGCTTCACGGGATAAGTCATCCTGAATTTCCTAGGAGCTTGTTGGAATTATTTTAACTTTGAGCCAGAAGTTTATCCTCCAACATGATGGAAGGAAACAGGAAACATGCTTAGGAACCCACGGTGTTCACACCACTGATTTTGCTTTACTTCCTGGCTTAGAAAGAGTTTAGCAAGGTTGTCTGCCGTAAACATCCAATAGCATCCTCCTTACAGTGCTGGGCAGGCAGGTCAGATGTGACTGTGAAAAATGCCCAAGCAATGAAATGGGGAAAGTTTCCTTCAGTTAGGGTCGTTTTCGTATAGAGTTCCTTGTTATGGGAAAAAAAAAGAGCGAGAGAGATGCATTGGGGGGAGACGGGGGGAGGTGCGGTGGCAGAGGAAAGATACTCATTAGTGGAATAAAATTGCCAAAAGAAACAGATGTCTACTAAACATAAGCTGTTTAGTTTCATGTGTGTTTGTTGGGGGGTTGCTGGAAACACAGGAGCCTGCACTAGATGCTCGGGCTCTCCATCCCCAGCTCCCATCTCTCCGATGAGGCAGCTGCCCTCAGAGAAACTGTCTCTCCGTAGACAGGGGTTTTCTCTTCACCTGGAGAGCAACAGGCTGCTCCGAAACAAGGCTGGGGAAGACGAGTAGCCTGGTCTCTCCTGGCTTCTACAAGGCTAAGGCTGTACTGATCAAGGCCAGTGTTCTCTATTCCCAAGGATGGGTGGAGGCTTCTTCTAGGTTCCTCAACAGGGAGGGGACCTGAGGCTTCAGGGATAGACAAATGGGGAGACCTTGGGACCACCCATTACTTGTGTGACAGGAACAATTCGGGGTGTTCTCTAGCCAATAAAAAAACACAGCTCTCTTTAAGGGGGCCCAGCAGCTGGAGAGGAGAAATTCATTTACAACAAAAAGGAAGCATGGCCAGCAAAAGACAACTTTGGGGCAAATCATCCTTAATTTCCCTAACTACCCCATTAGTATCTGTAAAGGATGTACCTCTCTGTTTATGGCATTCAGAGTTTATACCTATTTGTTTTGGATCAAGGTTAAGAGTTTTAAAAACTCCCTTCGCATCCTTATCTAAATTACCTGCTTGTATCAGCTTCTAAGAAAAGTGTGGAGATTCTCACTTGGAATGAGAAAATACCATGTTCATGTCATACTTTTCGGTTGGGGTTTTATAAGATAGTATTACGTTGATAATACTTAGAAGCAGTGGTTCTCAACCTTCTGGCCCTTTAAATACAGTTCCTCATGTTGTGACCCAACCATAAAATAATTTTCGTGGCTACTTCATAACTGTAATGTTGCTACTGTTAGGAATCGTAATGTAAATATCTGATATGCAGGATGGTCTTAGGCGACCCCTGTGAAAGGTTTGTTTGACCGCCAAAGGGGTCGCGACCCACAGGTTGAGAACCACTGACTTAGAGGCGGATGTTGGTGCATTTTATCTTTTATAAGTGCAAACATGCCTCTGCCCTTCTGAATGCTATTTTCAAACCCTGGCTTCCATTCAGTCTGACACTGATATTGCTAAACTTGCTTAGTGTTGGTATCTGCCTGGTACGTGGTTTTCAATTCATTCTCGTTCAATCTTTCTATGTCACTGTTTTCTCAAACTTCAGGTGACTCAATTTCTTTTCAGAACTCATCAGAAGGCATCTGTTTTGACTTCGGAGCATTGAATCCACTCCATGTGGCTATTACTGTGGTTAACAGACTTATTTCTGCCGCCCTACATTACGGCTTTTATTTTCTCTGCTTTTGTTTCGCTTTTGAACTCCACCCTTTCCTGTCCAATGTATTCAAATGCTATGTACATTTATTACACAGGTGTGATATTTACCATGTGTAGGAGTAGTTAGCTGGACAGCCTTCACCAGCAGGTGAGCCCTCCAGCACACTTCCACCTTTGTCCTTCCTTTGCTCTATCTGCCTCCCAAGACCCCTCTTGTATAAAAACGAAGTGTGTGCCAAAGTGAACAGTTATTTGCACAGACTCTCAGGTTTAACTTCATTTGCTGTTTCGTGTATCCCACATTTTCTTCTTTCTTAAATTCACTTTTCATTTTGACTCGGAAGCCTATGAGGGGGTAACCTTTGGGTCCCGACCTGGAGAAACTCACTTAAGCTTGGCCCGAACGCTCATGTGCTGGGAAAGTAACTGAGGTCCGAGCCATCCTCCCCTGGCATTCTGCAGCTACCCAGGACTAAAGGTGAGAAGTCCTCCCTCCCTTATTGAATTAGACCTCCTGGATTAATCCTACATATCTCTTAAACGTGCTCAAAGTTTTCATCTCTGTCTTTTTGCTCCACATTCTAGAGTGTTCTTTTTTGTTGTTCTTTTTTCCTATGAGTTTATTTTCCAGATGCCTAATTTGGTCTTTGATCAAATCCATTCTATCATTCAGACCATCTACGGATTTTTAATCTTGGCAATCCTGTTATTAGCTTTCAAGGAAGCCTCTTTACTGATCGTTCCTTTAAAAATCTCTCTGAGGACCTTAATTATAGTTCTTCAAAGTTCTTCTCTGTTCCCTGAATTGCCTGTTTTCTCTCTAATTCATCTGTTTACTTGCCTTACAGCTCAGTCTTGTCTGAGGACCTCTGTCTGTCTATTGATATTCAAGTTCAAAGGACAGGCTGATTAGTGCTGTGGAGGCTTCTCCCAGTGTCACCCTAGGACAGTGTCACCCACAGGCCTCTCTCCTGAATGGGAGGATGGTCTATGGGTTTTGAGACACAGGCCTGTTAACTGGATGCAAGGGGCTGTTAGCTGCGGAATGGAGAACTTCCAAATCAGCTGAAGTACAAAGCACTTCACTCTGGAAATAGAGGGAATTATTTTACACCCCTATGGGGAAGAGTGGCCATTATCACCGCCCCCCAAAATCTGTGGTAAAGGCCTAAAATTATCTTAAACCTTGGTTTCTTTCAATCCCCCTCCTTGCAAGTGTTGCCTGACGCTCCAAATAAAAAGGGGGTGGGGGAGGGGGGAGGGGAGTACGCCTAACCTTCAGGCAGGAAATGAAATTCTTTAACCCTTGCCATGATTTACCCTGAAACCTCCACCCCCACACTCCAGACATTGTATTGTTCACTCAGAAGTCAAAATTCTCTGGATCTGCTTTTACTACAAGTAGTTTTTCTTACCAGTGTTTTGCTCTGTGGCATCTTTCAGTCCAATTTCAGAGTCACTATGGGTCCATTTCCCACCTTTTAAGGGCTGCTGCTGACATTTTCTAGTGTCAGTGAGGAGTTTTGAAAATGTATTTTTTTACATTTTAAGGTATTTGGGAGGAAGAAAGATGGATGAATATGTTCAGTTCATTACCTTGATTTAATCTCTCCATTACATTTTAAAAAAATAACCTAAGAATTGCTTTTAAATTATTTTTCCCTTTTTTTATTGAATTTATTGAATGGCATTGGTTAATAAAACTGTATAGGTTTCAGGTGTACAATTCTATAATATGTCATCTGTATACTATATTGTGTGTTGACCGCCTGAAGTCAAATCTCTTTCCATCACCATTTATCTCCCCTTTACCCTCTTCTACCTCCACCCACCCCCATTTTTCTCTGGTAGTCACCATACTGTTGTCTCTGTCTATGAGGTTCTTTTTTTTCCTTTTCGTTTGTTTAATACCTTCAACTTTTTCACACTGCCCTGAAAACACCCTCTCTTCTGACAGCTGTCAGTCTGTTCTCTATCTATGAGTCTGTTTCCATTTTGTTTGTTAGTTCATTTTGTTCAATAGATTCCACATATGAGTGAATTCATATGGTACTTGTCTTTCTCTGACTGGCTTTCTTCATTTAGTATAATGCTCTCCAGGTCCATTCGTGATGTTATAAAAGGCGATTTTTTCCCTTCTTTTTAATGGTTGAGTATAAATATTCCACAAATTTTTTTATCCACTCGTCCACTGATGAACACTTGGGTTGCTGCTCCCAAATCTTGACTATTGTAAATAATGCTGTAATGAACATGCGTAACTCCTTTCGAATCAGTGTTTTGGGTTTCCTGGGGTACATTCCCAGAAGTGGAATCACTGGGTCATAAGGCAATTACATTTTTACTTTTTTGAGGTAACTCTTTTCACAGTGGCTGCATCAATTTGCATTCCCACCAATAGTGTACAAAGGTTCCCTTTCCTCCACATCCTTGCCAGCACTTGTTTGTTGATATGGATGATAACAATTCTGACAGGAGTGAGATGATATCTCATTGTGGTTTTAATTTGCATTTCCCTGGTGATTGAGCATCTTTTCATATGTTCATTGGCGATCTGTATGTCCTCTTTGGAGAACTGACAATTCAGGTCCTTTGTGCATTTTTTAATTGGATTGGTTTTTTTTTTTTATGAGTTTTATAAGTTCTTTAAAAATTTTGGACTATTAACTGCTTATCAGATGTATTATTGGCAAATTGTACTCCCATTAAGTGGGCTTTCTTTTCATTTTGTTGATGATTTCCTTTGCTGTGCAAGAACTTTTCAGTTTGATGTAGTCCCATCTGTTTGTTCGTTTGTTTCTCTTGCCCAAGGCGATATAAAAAAATATTGCTATGAGAAATATCTGAGATTTTAATGGCTATGTTTTCTTCTAGGATTTTTATGGTTTAGAGTCTAACACTTAAGTCTTTAATCCATTTTATTCTTTTGTATGATGTAAGAAGGCGATCTAGTTTCATTTTTTGCATGTATCTGTCCAATTTTCCCAATACCATTTATTGAATAGACTATCTTTACCCCAGTGAATGTTTTTGCCTTCCTTGTCAAATATTAATCAACCATAAAGGCCTGGGTTTATCTCTGGGCTCTCTATTCTGTTCTATTGATCTATGTGTCTGTCTTTATGCTATACTATGCTGTTTTGATTACTATGCCTTATAGTCAACTCTGATATCAGGTAGTGTGATTCTTTCAACTTTGTTTTTCTTTCTCAATATGCTGTGGCTATTTGATGTCTTGTGGGATTCCATATAAAATTTTGGAATATTTGTTCTAGTTCTGTGAAATGTGCCATTGGTATCTTCATAGGAATTGTATTGAATCTATAAATTAGTTTGGGAAGTATGGACATTTGAACATAAACACGGTATATACTTCCACTTATTTGTATTGTTTTCAATGACATATAGTTTTCTGAGCAGAGGTTTTTTACATCCTTTATTAAATTTATTCCTAGGCATTTTATTTTTTGGATGCAATTATGAACATGTTATTTAGCCTCCATATCTTTGTGTGTTTTTTGGTATGTGATTTATTTCTAGTTTCATACCATTGTGGTCAGAGAAGATGCTTGATATGATTTCAGTTTTCTTACATTTACTGAGAGTTGTTTTGTGATCTAACATGTAGTTTATCCTAGAAAATGTTCCATGTGCACTTGAAAAGAATGCATATTCTGAAAATATAAACTAAATCCATTTGATTTAGTGTGTCATTTAAGGCCGCCATTTCCTTGTTGATTTTCTGTCTGGAAGATCTATCCAATGATGTCAATGGGGTGTCAAAATCCCCAACTTACTCTATTGCTGTCAATCTTTCCCTTTATGTCCATCAAGATTTGCTTTATATATTTAGTGCTCCTATTTAAGTGCATAAATGTTTATGAGGACTATATCCTCTTGTTGTATTGCTCCCTTTATCATTATGTAGTGTTCTTTGTCTCTTACTAGAGGCTTTGTTTTCAAATCTATTTTGTCAGATATAAGTATTGCTATCCTAGTTGTTTTTCCCATTTGCATGAAATATCGTTTTCCATCCTTTTACTTTTAGTCCAGGTATATCTTTCATTCTGATGTGGGTCTCTTGTAGACATCATACATGTGTGTCTTGGTTTCTTATCCATTCAGCTACCCTGTATCTTTTGATTTGAGCATTTAAGCCACTTACATTTAAAGTGATTATTGATAGGTGCATATTTACTACTATTTTAATCTTTAACTATGTTCCTCTGTTAAAGAAGACCCTTTGACATTTCTTGTCATATTGGTTTGGGGGTAACTAACTTTTTTGGTTTTTCTTGCCAGGCAAGCTCTTTATTTCTCCTTCAATTTTACACAACTTTGCTGGGTGGAGTAGTCTTGGTTGTGGGTTCTTGCTTTTCATCACCTTGAATGTTTTATGCCAATCTCTTCTGGCTTGAAATGTTTCTGTTTAGAAACCTGCTCACTGTCTTCTGGAAGCTCCCTTGTAGGTAACTAACTGTCTTCTCTTGCTGCTTTTAAGATTCTCTCTTTGTCTTTAAACTATGCCATTTTAATTAAGCTGTGTCTTGGTGTGGGTCTCTTTGGGTTCATCTTTTTTGGGGACTCTACACTTCCTGGACTTGTGTGTCTTTTTCCTTTACAAGGTAAGGGAAGTTTTCGATCATTTCTTTTCAAATAGTTTCTAGATTCCTTGCTCTCCCTCTCTTCCTTGTGGTACCCCTATGATGTAGACATTGTTTCGCTTCATGTTGTCCCAAAGGTCCCTAAACTATCCTCATTTAAAAATTATTTTTTTCTTTTTTGGCTCTGGGTATTTCTTTGTACCTTGTCTTCCAAATTGTTGATTGTAAGTGAACTGGAATATGAACCTAGGTAGTCTGACACCATGATCCATGCCATGAATCACTTTACTGTGATGGCTAACAATGCTTCAGAAATGATATTAAGTGAAAACCACATATATACACAGTGTGATCAAAACTCCATTAAAAACCATGCATGGGGGAGAAAATTAACAAAAATGTTAAATAGTGATTATAGCGTTGTGGAAAAATGGATGATATTTTATTTAACCTTTATGTTATTTTCATAATCATAAAAAAAAAAACCCTAAAAGAGAAAGAAATCAACTACTAATTTCTATAGCTTGGTTGTATGGGTTTTTAGAAAACACCACCCAGAGATGAAATCATGTCTGAGTAGCTATCTTCTGCAAGGGAAGAATTAAAGAGGATTTAAAAAATATATATATTTTATTGATTTTTTACAGAAAGGAAGGGAGAGAGATAGAGAGTTAGAAATATTGATGAGAGAGAAACATCGAACAGCTGCCTCCTGCACACTCCCTACTGGGGATGTGCCCACAACCAAGGTACATGCCCTTGACCGGAATCAAACCTGGGACCCTTGAGTCCGCAGGCCAACGCTCTATCCACTAAGCCAAACCAGTTAGGGCTAAAGGGGATATTTTTGTGGTATGAAAAATAACAAAGTCCTAGACTTTGATCTGAGCTTTAATTCTTCTGATTTCACAACTGATTTCTGGAGTGATTTATAGACAGATTCTTTTGGATTCAATATACAATTGGCTAACAAATATTGAGTATTTATTATATGCGAGGCACGTGGTTGCTCTCACTTGAGCCTCACAACCACACCTCCTAGTCAGTAATTATCTCCATTTATAGCCAAGGAAACCAAAGCTTAGGGGAGGCCAAAATGACTTGGCCAAGGTCACCCACTAAGTGGTATGTTAGTTCTCCCCATTCGGTGTTCAACCTTATTTCAAGTAAGTAATTTAAAACAAACTGTATGATAACCTTTGGCTCAAAAAATATTATCATTTATATATATGCAAATGATACCTAAAGGACACAGTGAGTCAATGGAAGATGGGATTAAACGTGGTGTTTTATATTCTTGTCTTGAAATCATGATTTCCTGAAACAAGTAGAGTGATCTCATTGCTACTTTTACACTAGGGTTCCAGGCAGCCAGGAAGGATCAATCCTGCCTCATATGCCAATATCACTGCCTTTGAAGAAAAAGAATTAATTAAGAATTAAAGAGCAGCTACCTGGGTTCCTTCCTCCAGGGGCTCCCCAGGCTACAGGCAGGACAAGGAGCCCACAAAACAGCAAGCAACTTCTCAAAGCAGGGGGTTGTTCTCAGGAGACTTAAGCCACATATCTGATGAGAACACCACCTGTATCAAAACTGTTGGGACCCAGGCATCACAGGACTGCCTTAGGGTTTGTTCACTCATTAAATGTTTGTCAACACCTGGAGAGCTAATCCAGATTGTTCCGGCCTCTAGGGTCTCTGCACCAGGAGTAGCATCAAAGAACACACTGATCCCTGCTGTGGCTATAATCAAATTTCCTCTAGGGATTTACATGGCGATGGAGAAACCAACCTCCACATCTATTTCTCTTCTATTGATATTTTCACTGTAGCCCTGAAAAAAGATGACAGTCATTTCTCTCTGAGATTCAATTAACACACACACCCAGATCATCTGACCTTATACAGCGAGGAGGAAGCAGGAATCTAACAGCACCAAGTTGTACTACATTTCTTTTCTCTAAGTGATAATACTATTGCTTCAATTCTGGACAAGCTGTCATACATGCTTGTGCTTAGATCCCACTAAAGCACAATTATTACATTTTTTTTAAACTTCCGACTTAGTTCTCATTCTTATGCTATGAAGGGAAACTAAATGGAACATGAACTGGAATCCAATAATACCACCAAACACGCCCATTTTTAATGAGCCTTTTCTGGAGTTAAGAATTTTAACTTGTCTAACAGTTTAATCTGCCAGAAGTAAGGTTCATTTCCTTCCCTTTCTTTTCAGTAGCTCTTCAAAGCATCATATAGCCAGCCAAGTCCTGTGTGCCCAGTCAACAGTTAGAAGCAAAGTTCCAGTGTAGTGGTTCCGGTGCGGGTGGGAACGGAGCTCTCCGAGGGGTACTCACCAGCTATGGCACCAGCCAAGAGCAGGCTTCCAGGGCTAACCTGCCCATCTTCGTTTGCAAAGGAAGCCTTCACGTGAGCGTAGCACGGGAAATAGATGGCTGAGAAAGGAATGTCCCGCAGAAAGCATGCTTTGGCACCCTGTCCGTTGGAAAAGAAAAACCACATGAAACACATATCCCATTGAGAAGATCAAGCTTCTCTGGAACTTATCTTGGAACAAAATATTCCCTGAGAAGACTGAATTGTACTCACAAGTTGAAAAGGTAACAGAAAAAAAAAAAAAAAGTATTGCCCAAATTCTGCAAGTAATAAATCTAAATTTTCTTTTTAAAAAGAAAATGAATTTTATTGAGGAAGAAGGGGTAGTTCTCGCTTTTTCTAATAGTAAGATTTCTATTCAAGTGATTTTGGGACTTTGTCTGTGACAACCTTTCCCGACTGATGGCAGGTCACTGGCATTTCAAGGAGGTTTTGTTCTCAGAAGATGGGCAGCAATAGCCAAGATGCCTCTTTGTTCATATACCAGGAAGTAGAACAATTAGATAGGTGGCAAGGGAAGGGGCTTATTTTTTGTATTGTTTGAGACTCTGATGAAAGTGTTGGACTCCTTCCCAGAAAAAATTACACATATGTAAAAAATTATATACTTTTTCAATGGGTTCATGGATCCCCTAATCTACTCACATACTTATCCCTACCCTCCAGGATTTATGAAACATTGACAAATGCTTTAAAATATTTACAATAATTCCTACACATTTAATACCTGTGTGTAGAGCAATTAACAACTAGAACAAAATCTTCACCAAATAATTTTTGGTGTCAAAATGGTGGCATGGGGAGGCCTTGAGAATTGATGCGTGCCCAGTTAGATGAAACAGTTAATCGTCTAATGAAAACCATAAGATGTATACTGTGTTTAGGTAGGTTAAACGGAAAGGAAGTCACCCTTTTGCAACACTTCATGATTTAATAGCACTTCTTTTACAGATTTTGTAAAACCTAAAGCTTTCCACCAAATTTAGAGATTCTTTAAAGAAAATAATGACTCTATCCAAACTCATCAGATGCAGTCAAGCCCAGAGACATTTACTGAGGCCCAAGGATGTTGGATCTTGGGTATTTTGGGACGGATGGTGGTCTCCAACCTGTCAAACTTCCTTAACACAACGCATTCATTACTGCAGCTTTGCTTCTCTGACCCACATTACACCGCTGACTCAAACTGAGCTCGTGGGTAACAAAACCCTTCGTCTTTTTGCAGAGGAATGGCTATTGACCCAGGGCTCCTGTAACCTAATTAGTTGCCTTAAACAACAGAAGTAGCACTTCATGTTTAATCCTATTAAACTTCCTCCTGCTTTGGCCCATCCTTCCAACCAGAACGAATGCTCGGAATCTGGGCCTTGTCATGTTGCTTATTTCTCGGCCAACTCACTCATAGATGGGGTTTAGATGCCTCTGTCCCCTTGGAGCAGACATTTCAAGAAAAGAATACACACCATGTTCTGCCAATCAGCCCACACCTTTCTAACTTGTCTACCCCCAAACTGTTAAATGCCTAAGTGAGAAGAGGAGCAATATCAACCACCATTCATTCCATAGTTGGGCCCATGCTTCTGTGGTTCTGAGGTATGCCTTTTCTTCCTGGTTGTTTTTCTTTTTGTTTTTGTTGTGGGGGAGTATGGTCTAACATCTCCTTCATTCGTCAGCCACCTTTGGTCTTGGCTGTCCTACAGATTAGGCCTGGTATCCTCACCCTCTCAAAGCTTTGTAATGCTGCCATTTCCCCATTTTCCTCTCCTTGGTCAGCTTGATTCCTTTCAGGTAAAGCTATTCAATGACCCATTCACCTGATTAATCAAGGGACCTATCACTCTGCATCTTCTTGGACGATGTTTAAGCTGGGAACACCAACCTCTTAAATACCAGCTCTTCATTCATTTAAACCCAAATGCCACCCTTTCCCACTGAGGATCCTTTATCTAGAAGGTAGACAGGGAGTGGATTCCATGTGGCTCCACGCTGCCCATACTTCATCAGTGCTGTTCCGGGCTTTCTTCTCGCTCTCACATCCGCCAAGGGCAGCCTGGCCTGTTTCAGGGTGTGAGCAACCAGGGGCCAGGAACTGCTGTCTGATTTAACTTAGAAAACAGCAAAATCTTTGGCTGTCAGTTGGGGCCTAAGACACGTTCCTGGTGACACGGAGTTAGCTTTGCCAAGTCACACAGAGAAAACCACAACTAAAAAGAGAAATGCGAGGCTTTGGGCTACGTTGTCAGATTTCTGCAAGGACAACGAACTCATTTCTTGGAAAACTATACTAGAGACCAAAACCAAGCTTTTTGTTTTTCAAACAAAGATATGTAATTTGCTATGGATACAACAGAGCTGAGGAGGAAGTCATGGATAATTCTGAACTGGAATGGTAACGTTAGAGAGAGAGAGAGAGAGAGAGAGAGAGAAAGAGAGAGAGAACGAATGAACAGTGATTAGCCCCTCTTAAGCTATATGGCTTCACTGCGATCAGAAGGCCCGGGGAGATGTGATCTGAAATCGCCCTGGGACACAGGAAGGTAAGGCCACGGGAAGACGCGGTGAGTTTTCCCCAGAAGGAGCTCTCTCTGCTGGAAGCAGGATAACCACCAGGTCCCAGCGCGAAAACAGGCGCCTGGTAATGGGTGTGAGGTGCTTGAAGAGATGTTTGAAAACAGCCCCAGATGACTGAGAAGAAAAATGGCTTAATCAAAACACAAACACAAAAAGAACAAATCTAAGGAAAAATGGATAGGACTATGTTGCATTTTTCCTACCAGGGATCAGACAGTGCATAATAAAAGATAAGCAGTTTGTGCATACTGGAGCGAATGTCAGACTATGTAAGAGGTCTTAGGTTTCTGAAAATGTGAAGAAAAGGCAACACCAAGGAAGAAAGATACCGTGTGCAGCAGCCCCATCTCCGCTCTGCAGAAGCAGGACAGCCTTGCCAGCGAGTTAAAACATTTAAAACCTCGCTGGACGGAGCGGCTCCATGGTTGAGCGTTGACCTATGAACCAGGCCAGGGTAGCAGGTTCTATTCCTAGCAGGGGGTGTGCAGGAGGCATCCTATCAATGATTCTCTCTCATCACCGATGTTTCTGTCTCTCTCCCTCTTCCTTCCTCTCTGAAAGCAATAAAAATATACTATAAAAAACCCCCCACCAAAACTCAACATTTAAAAACTCAAATTTCTACTGATTGAGGCATGAAGAACACCCCTCTATTCTGTCGCTGGGTATCTGGAGATGAGCATCAGGAGAAATCAAGCTCTGAACCTCCCTCATTTGTCACAAATACTACAGGCTGCCTTCTTCCGGGGGTCGGGAGAGGTTGAGGAATAAAGAAGGTGATGACTGTGTTAGTCCCTGTAAAGTGCCCACTGCAGTGCACATGTGAAGGGCAATGGAGGGGGTGAGGAGGAGGCCCTTCTCCCTGCCTCCGGTGCTGCATCCCCCCAGCCCAGCACCTGCTCAGGCTCCTCCAGGCAGCAAATCACTGGCCTGAACAGGAGGTGCCCCCAGCCTCTCCCTCCCCAGGCACAAGAGCCCAGTTGCCAAGGAAAGCTAACTCTGCAGAAGGTTGGAGAAAAAGGCACAGACTTCTTAAATTCCCCTGGCCTCCTCTCCTCACCACTTCCTTCAGGTCAAAGGCACAAAGGCAGGTGCCAATTTGTAAGGCTGCCCGAGGCAATACCTGACCTGTGGCTCCCCACAATGAAAAGGGAAGCAGGATGTGAAAAGGCTTTTAAAGTCCCAACAGAGAGCATGCCTCTCCCGGATTCCTTGATAAATCCTTCACATGGGTGGTGAACACCATTCTCCGTCCTCCAGCAAAACAGAAACCTGTTTGGCTTGAATTCTGCTCGCCCCGTGCGATTTTTACTAGGTGATCAGCCACTTTGAACAGGCGACTTTATAATAAAGGGAAACATTCCGTGTGGCCCCAGTGCCTGCGTCAGCAACACAAAAAATAATTACTTTGGCCATTTAAAAAATTAATAAGTTACAAAGTGTGTGCCACCTAAAATAAACCTTGAACCGTTCTTGCCGCATAAGAAAATCCCCACATTTTCCTGCCTTTCCTTCTCACTGGTTCCGAGGCAGCCCTGTCTCAGACATCCTCTGGTTAGCCCTGAATGTCCTCTGTGCACAGTAAAGCCACCTGGGGAAAATTAATAAACACAAAATGCAATCATCTGATCTCTTAATATTCATTAAAGCACTCTTTCTCCAAAGAGGGTAAATCTTTGTGTGTGTTATTTTCCTCCTTTTAAATAAAAGACCCACTAATAACAGACAGGAACAATAAAGGCATCTCCGGGGAGACCCCTATGTAAATAAACTAGAATCAAAACTCAGACCTACTTTAGTGACGGACTCTCTCTCTACACCAACTCTGTATCATTCTGAAGTCTCTCGTCATCACTCTAGTGAAGGTCCAGGAAAGCTTCCTTAAGGGCAGGCCTCACTTAACTTAAAGTTAAGAGTCCACAATCGACACAAGCCTGTGACGCAGGCCTAGAGATGATGGCCACGGTATCACCGCGGCAAAGAAATTCTTTATTTTGCGTCTCATGCTTTCTTGGATGCGGCCACTGTGTTGAAAGCCCAAGGGAGCTTTAATCAATTCTTAAGTTGCTGGAATCATCCACTCAAGTTTACTCTGGCAGCTCTGTCTGGCATGAAACTGTCAAAAGATATAACACAACAGGATTTGTATCTTACACACACCATACACACACCACACACACACCACCACACCCCCCTCCCACACCACACACACACACAGACACACACTGCTACCTCCAATGTCTTTTTCCCCCCCTTTTTCTTTTAAAGCTCTTCATCTCCGTTGGTATCACACCTGCCCAATCCATTTGAGGGGCAGAAAAAAAAAAAACACAAAACAGTCCTGAAGGGTGGTTGCTGATAAAGAAGTCAGGGCCAGGGCAGGTCTTTTCGCATGCTAATTCCTGCTTATTCTAGCTGTACCTGCAAATACAGCTCTAAACAGACTATTTCTAATACAGGGGAAGGTAATTACACTCACAAAGGCACCTCTGTGTCAGGGCTGGGCACCAGGAGCCAGCAGGTCTGGG